TTGAAAATTAGAAAAAAAAATTTATCTTCGTACTTAAATTGCTTGAAAACATGATTATGAACAATATTAATTTGTTTAAAATCAGTTGAAATAACAATTTGTTTTTAATCTGAATTTGGTAGGTGTTTATAAGTATTAAATTTGGTTAAATTCAAAATCTGAGAAAACTGCATCTTTCTATTAGATACTTTTCTGTAAATAGTTAGTAAATACAAATAATAAATTTGTTTAAAATTTAATTAAATAATAAGTGCGTTTTAAATTTGAATCTCTATTTATTAAAAGTTCGATAAATTGCAAAATTTGGAAAAAATGTATCTTTATAGGTACATTCTGTAAAAAGTTAGTATATAACAAAAATTTATTTAAACAAATGGAAAATTTATTATAACTTTATTAAAATACATTATTTGTTTTTACATAAGAATTTTAGTAAAAGATGGGATGATTTTAATTTTTTTTATCATTTAGACATGGACAGACCCATATATACAATCATACTGTATTAAGAAAATAAAGATAATTCCATTAAGTAAAATTTACAAGTAAACAGAGTACATATATCTATATTATTATTTGTACTGCCTTCTCGGACACAATAAAAGTCATAAACGAAATATAACTACCACTACTATTGCTATAAGAATGTATTATTATTATGTGAGCGTATAGTGTAAACAGTTGTATCTCTGTAATGCGAATATACTAACCAGTCTTGTGAGAACTGTGAACATTTAAACCTCGCGTTTTCTTATACACTGTATCTAGCTTTATTCTAATGAATAGTTTATTTATTTGATTATTATAACTTACGTTTTATCATAATACAATAAAAATCAACTGTAATTCACTAATTAATTTATAAATATTGAGAAAACTTCCGGAACAGATTTAATTTAAAAATAAATTGATAAAAGTCAACCGAGAACTGTTTTTTTCACACCTGTTAAAAAAGGTGGAATCATTGTGAATTGATTTTAAAATATATTATATAAATTTTTTTAACAATTCATAACTGAAAAAAATATTTTTTCGAAACTTATTAAAAAAATTTGTTTTTACAATCCTTTCAGTCCAAGGAGTTATATGTGTCAAAACGACCAGAAAAACGTGTTTTTTTTAGACAAAGATTTTTTGAAAGTGAATTCCAATCAATTCCGTTATAATATTTTTTTAATTTTTGAATCTTTTTGAATTCCGAAATATTATGTGAGAAGTTTAATTCCTGTTTATTCCGTTTTAATATTTCGTATTTTTTTTTAATTCCTTTGAAGTTTGCAACACTATGAGATAAGTACTTCTAAAACTCAGAATTTATTGTAGTTTACGGGTGCAGTCTGAGTCTTTTGCACGTATTTTGAAAAAAAAAATTTCATAATGAAATTTGTTTAAATATTTTAAAATTTTACATATTATTACACATATATTAAACTATATGTAAAAAATTTCTTACTATTTTTTTGTTTCTAATAGCGAAGAACTGGTGACTGTATGTAGAGTCCTCGAAAATCTGGTTGACATGATATCTCCAGTCAAAACAAACGGAATCAAAAAATTCAAACAGCATAATACAATATAGGTAAGTGATTATAGCCCGAAGTAAAATCATAATTTTTAACCTGTTTTTAAACAATTTCAGTTGCAAAAGTTGAGTTAAAATTGTAAAAAATCCGCCATTGTGTTATTTTTCAATGGAAATTTTTTGTTTTACTTCCGGCTATAACCACTTCCCTATATTTTAATATGCTGTTTGGAGGCGCATGCTTATTCCCGAAATCTTTTTTAACCAAATAGTTATTTGATATAAAACTACTTAACTTAAAATTTACATAATATGCACATTATTTGACATAAATTTCATTGCACACAAAAACCATTTAACATAAATATCATTTGTCATAGAATTCATTAAACAGAAATATTATGTTACATAAAACTCAGATAACTTAATTCCCATTTGACATAACAATTATGTAACATAAATTTCTAGTGACATAAAAATCATTTAACATAAATTTCTTTTGACATAAAATTCATTTAACGTAAATTTTGTTTGTTATAAAATTTATTTGACATCAATTTCATTTGGCATAAATGTCACTTAACGTAATTCTCATTTGACATAAATATCATTAGACATAGAATTAGCTTGACATGAATTTCATTTGACGTGAATATCATTTAACATAATTATTATTTAACGTAAAATTAAATTTATATAAATTTCATTTAGCATTAATGCCATTTAACATAATTCTCATTTGACATAAAATTTACTTGACATAAATTTCATTTGGTATAAATCCCATTTAACATCATTTTCATTTGACATAAAGTTCATTTGATATAAAAGACATTTAACACAATTCTCATTTGTCATAAAAGTCATTTAATAAAATTCTCATTTGACATAAAAATCATTTTACGCAAATTACATTTTACATAAAAATATCGGCGCTAATTTTAAAAGTAACCAATTAGATATTATCAACAACATTGTGATTCGCCAATTTTGAAATTCGCGCCTATATTTCTATGTCAAATGATCTTTATGTAAAATGAAATCTATGACATCTGAATGTTATGTCAAATGAGAATTATGTGCAATTACTTATCCGTCAAATGAAATTGATATCAAGTGAACTTTATGTCAAATGAAAATTATGTTAAATGGGATTTATACCAAATGAAATTTATGTCAAGTAAATTTTATGTCAAATGAGAATTATGTTAAATGGCATTAATGCTAAATGAAATTTATATAAATTTAATTTTACGTTAAATAATAATTATGTTAAATGATATTCACGTCAAATGAAATTTATGTCAAGCTAATTTTATGTCTAATGATATTTATGTCAAATGGATTTTATGTCAAATGAGAATTACGTTAAATGACATTTATGCCAAATGAAATTGATGTCAAATGAATTTTATAACAAATAAAATTTACGTTAAATGAATTTTATGTCAAAAGAAATTTATGTTAAATAATGTGCATATTATGTGAATTTTAAGTTAAGTAGTTTTATATCAAATAACTATTTGGTCAAAAAAGATTTCGGGAATAAGCATGCGTCTCGCTGTTTGAACTTTTTGATTCCGTCTGTTCTGACTGGATATATCATGTCAAACAGATTTTTGAAGACTCTACTTACAGTCGCCAGTTCTTCGCCATTAGCAACAAAAAAATACAAAGAAATTTTTTATATATATAGTTTAATATATTTAATAAATTTCACTTTGAAAAAAAATCTTTAAATACGTGCAAAAAACCCAGACTGCCCCCTTAAATAGCTGAGCGAACAAGCTGTTTGTCTTCGACAATGAAAGTTGAGAGTTCAAATCTTTGGACCGGCAAAGTTTTTTCCGCGTAATATATTAAAACAGTATTTAAAAGAATTGACCTAAGCTTCGTTTCGGCTTCTTCAAATGAAAACGAAAAACATCAATCCTCCAAGTCAAATATTAAAATAATAAAAAACACAATTTTAAGGTTTTGACAGCAATGCTGTCCTCATCAGAAACATAAAATAATTATAGAAATTTTACGTTTCTGGCAAGGACAGCAGGGCTGTCGAAACGTTAAAATTGTGTTATTTATTATTTTAATATTTGACTTGGAGGATAGATAATTTTCTTGATATTTTATACCTATTATCTTTTACCGAGTGATAAATTCTACAACTATTTATTTAGAAATTTTACTTAAAAAAATTAATATTGAAAGAAATTATAAATATTTATTCAAATAAAATCGTATTTAGGATATATTTTAATATAGTAATATTTGTATTAATAGTGTACAATATGGAGCAAACGGCTGGAGTAGTTACCCCGTAGTATAAAATTATATACTTACTTTTTAAATCCATTTTGATTTTCCTGTTTCCTTAATGTACGAATTTTTTAAGATTATGAATTGTTAATAAAATTTCAATTTATGTATTTTAAGAAAATAGTTGTTTTAAAGCATTTAAAAAATATTTTCAGTTCTGTACCTACACTACCGGCCAGAAGTATCAGGACGATTACATTCAACTCTATGAAAAAACATGCCATCACTTTTTCAATCATATCTCGGAAATAAAAGGAGGTACAAAAAAAATTAAATACGGTTAGAAAGCTGATTAAATTCTGCGTAAAATAAGCCGTCTTTGAAGTCATTTCGTTAATTATTTTTTAAATTGTAGAGTGAGAAAGAAATAAAAAAAATATCATATTTTCTCATTTTTGTCTCTTGACTTCAACTTTTTTAAAAATCTAAAAAAATTTAGATAAAATTTTTCTAGAAACACAGAAATCTTCGTCACCGTTTAATTTCAATGCACCAATCGGTCGAAACACGGCTTCACATTTTTAATGATTTATCATAGACGGATTAACCTTTTTTAATTTTCGAAGGCTTATTTTAAAGCTGAAATTCTAACAAAGATTTCTGTGTTTTTAGAAAAATTTTATCTAAATTTTTCTGGATTTTTGAAAAAGTTGAAGTCAAGAGACGAAAATGAGAAAATTTGATAAATTTTTTTATTTCTTTCTTACTCTACAACTTAAAAAATAATTAACGAAATGACTTTAAAGATTGCTTATTTTACGCAGAATTTAATCAGCTTTCTAACCGTATTTAAGTTTTTTTGTACATCCTTTTATTTCCGAGATATGATTGAAAAAGTGATGGCATGTTTTTTCATAGAGTCGAATGTAATCGTCCTGATACTTTTGGACGGTAGTGTAATTATAAAGATTTTCTTTTAGAAAAATATTTAAGTTAATTAAAAATACTATTTAATTGAGTATACTAACAAATTTAATGGTATAAAAACAAACTATGTTATAGCATTATTGTAAGTTTAGGATAATTTATGAAAATATTAAAGAGCAGAATACGTTTTTAATACCATTTATTAAACTTTTAATGGAAGATATCAGTTCTTTGTGTTAATAAAAAGTACTTTTACATTTTGAGATAAAATTTAACAAATTTAATTTAAAAACACATTTTTATTTTTTTTAATTAAGACATTTCTGTAAACATACAAGTTATGACATAAATATACATACATACACAATATTTACATATGCACACTAATTATATTTACACTATTTAAATATACACACTTTATACATTATTTATACTAAAATAACAACAAACATATTTCACAATAAATAAATTGATTATAAAACAATAAATTATGTAAATTATAATAATATAAAGCCCATACACTACTGAAAGTTGCAGCAGTATTGACAATATTTCTGTATTACAAAAACTGTTGAGAATATGTTGTTAATATTGATGTCAATTTCAGCATTGCGAGTGGTAACTAGAAATTAAAACGAAAATCTAATGTCTCTATTTATAAGTTCATAATAATTAAATTTCCTATAGAACATTTCCAAACACCTGAAAATCTCGACAAGAAAGATAACTAAGAATTTTCTCAATAACTAGACACGGTAGATTTTTTTCGCCGAAATTCATAAAGAAATCGATAGCTTTATCCACAGAAGCTTCTAATGATTTAATTCTTGATAATCTACGATTTATTAAAAGTGCATAACATGGAAACTTCAAACTTACATTTGAAAAATAAGTTAATTCATTTCTTAATTTTGCAATTTTAATAACACGTACTAATGTTGAAAAATTCCATGTTAAAATATTGTAATATGAAATATTTCTTCTATGCACTACTATCGCTTTCCTTAATTCTTCCTGTTCTAGTTTTGACTTTTCAAAATAAGTAGAAGCTTTATTGAAATGAGAAGGTTTTATAAAACATTTAATATAATTTCCGATTTTATCCTCTCTTAAAGAGATGAAAGACAGAAGAACTTCTAATCCCTGTCCACCAGTTGACCACGAACTTGAGACTAAACCTTGAGTATGGGAATCAGGAGACAAATTCCACAATTCTTTGTCTCCTAATTCCAACAAGGTTAGTACAGCTTCGGGATTATTAAATGAAGCAGCCATTTGTAAAACTGTCCACCCTTCATTACTTCTGTCATTTAAATTTGCGCCATGGTACGCGAAAAGTTTTATCATTTTCGAACATGGATTCTTCACATTTGTTATGTAATACATAAGAGGAGTATAACCTAAATAATTTTTTACATTGACGTCAATGCCTTTCGCCAGTAGAAGATCTACTGTTTCAAAGGCACCATCAATTGCTGCAAGATGAAGAGCTGTATTCTCTTCTATATCATAAGCATAAACGTCTGTAAGAAATTCCAAAAAAATCTTCATTTCCTTCCAACGACCTGTTCTGCACGCTTCAAAGAAAGGATTAAAACCATTATGTCCTGAAATTTTAGGATTTGCTCCATAACTCAGTAATAGCTTTAATATCTTCCTATCAAAAACAGGTCCCGGTAAGAAATTCGAATCATGCAATTCCTTACAATAAGAATTCCAAGAAGAATTTAAAACTTCTCGCGTGGTCCACTCACCACAAACTAAATGTAATGGATTGCTTGGACAATCCGAATGTAAAATTAGTCCGAAATTTGTTTGACACGAATTCGGATTGACCTGCGCTCCAAAGTTTAACAGAATACTGCAAATGTTCTCGTTTCCAAGATATGATGCATAATGAAGAGGTGTTAAACCACTACGAGTTTTGCAATTGGGATCCGCTCCTTCTTGTAAAAGAAACAGCACAACTTCAGACAGTTGAAGACTCACTGCGTAATGAAGTGCTGTTTCGCAAAAACTACCTTGAAAATTTAATTCGTAGGGAAGAAATCGATTCTGTGTTTCATCTCTTTCCACATTCCTTTCAATCAACGGTTTAGTGAAACCTATACTTTCTTCTAAATATTTTTCACAGTCTTCTAAAACTAATTGTAAAATATGTTTGTTGGCTATTTTTGCTGCGAAAAAAATTAACAAAGGATAATCTAAATATTCACGACTGACATATTTTTGAAGCTGAAGAAGTAGTTTTAAGATATCCTCAATCTTATCATATTTAACTATTTTAGAGAGTCTTAGACTTCTATTGAATATACACTCTGTTGGAAAATTTTTATTAATGTACAATGGCAAATTATTTACAAAAAATTTAACTACTTCTTCAGATCCAAAAATAATAGCCTGACGCAGTAAACACCAATCACTAATTTCTCTATTACTTAATAATATTTTGACTATATCTACAGAACTCTTAATGGCATAAAACAATGGAGTTTTCTTATCTTTGTTTAAAGCATAAATATCCGCCCCTAAGTTACATAAAACTGTTACTGTGTCTAATGAGCCTATTATTACCGCAGCGTGTAAAAATGTGTTGCCAAATTTATCGCTTTGGTAAACACTTCCTTGTAATAGCAACTCATTAACGAGGCACTGATTATTCTGCCTCATTGCTTCCTTAAAACTCTCCATAAAAATTTCGGAAAAGATGTTAAGAGGATCTGCCATATTTTCCTTTATTGTACTTTTTACGTGTCGCTTGAACGTTGTACCTTCAATGATTTCTGTAAAAAAAATTAAAGAATATTTCTAAATGAGTTTTAAATGGTATATCTATATAGTTTACGAAGCATATATGGCACACCAAAAATTTCCATAAACTTGACAGTACCTTGCCACCAAATTTAGAAATATTAACCCAACCCTTACAACATAAGATATTCTATGGATATCCCAATTCCGTCCCACTTAGATCTATAGCTGTCTGGGATATCAAAAGGATACTTTATGGATATTCCTACAAATATCTTAAAGTATTGAACTTTTTATACCCTGAAAATCTCAAGGGGATATTTCTGTATAGTTGTATAATGGCTTGTGGATATATGTGGGATGTGGTATTTAACATCCCAGGAACATCCTTCAAAAGTGTATTGTTATTAAATGTAAAATCATTTAAAAGTTTGAGTTAATAAACTAATCTTAAAAATTTGCGTTAACAGCTTGTCAGCAAATTTATGTCATGAAAATAATTATTATACACACAGGTTTTTTTAAATAAAAAACCGGTATTACGATACCAATTAAGTGAAACAAATCTATTGTATTTTATATTTTATAATTTGATTTATTTATTTTTTAGATTCTACTTATTACTTTATTTTCTTCCTTTAAATTTCAAGAAAATAGTTTAAAAAATAAGTATCCACCATGAATATTTTAGGGATGTCTTAGTAGAGGGAACTTTTAATATCACAGGGAAATCTATTTGCTGTAAGGGAAGTAGCACGTAATATTACAGTAATACTAAAATGTCCCCCTGGTGGCAATATTGCCCGGTAATATTACAGAGTTATGGGTTAAAATCAAAAAATCGTTGAAAACTTGTCCTGGATAAATAATAATTTGTTTGTTAAAAATTCATGATTTAAAATACAAACATCTTGCAAAGTATAATTTTATCTACAATACCTAGTTATTTAATTTAATTTTTTATTGATACAACAGGTACAAAATAGTAAAAATATGTCCAAAATGTCATCGTGTCCCGTGTCCCTATATACATTTTAGGATATAAAAAAATTTTTAATTCAATTTTTTATTATATAAAATAAAATTTCTTTTCGTGTACGTGTTCTCCAATGTATAAAGTGTAATATAGGAAAGTGGTGAGAATTTTTATAACACTAAATGCGAAATTTAAAGAATTTTTAACGTGTCCCCAGATTTGAAATTTTTTAATATCATCGTGTCCTCACACACATATTTACCGGTTTTCAAATTGGTATCGCAATTGAAAGTTGAAAAACTATGAAATAAATCAAGTATGATATAAATTTGATAATACGTGAGCATAGAGGAATGTCAAAATCAATTTAAAAATCAGTAAAATGATATTTTGATAATATTAAGAAAAGAGTACATCTTTTTTTGTAATCGTCTCCACAAGTATTTTTTTAAAGGCGAACATTTTTAAATGGTAATTAATATATAAAAAAAATTTGCTAGTATATGTATATTATTTGTGTGAATGTATAATTAAAACTAAATTCAAGTTTTCGAATAATAACAAAAATAAAAATTCATGTTTATTATTTTTTGTCATCGTGTTCCGTCCGACATATATTTTTTTAAGGAGTGAAGTCAGACGTTACATAGACAGAAAGAAATTTTCTAAAATCTATTTGGTTAGTTATCAAAAAATATTTTCAGAAAGTCATATTAAAACGATTAACACGCTAAATAATATGTTATTATTATTTAACAGGTAAATTCAGTATTTAAATAATGAAACTAACTTAAAATGAAAAATTAATTATTACTATAAACCTTTTTTTGTAATTTCATCATATTGAAATAGGTTAAATATGTGATTACTAAAAAAAATATTATTAACCACTTCACTGGCGGGGCGTTCCAAATGGCGTTCCACGCGCCGAGGCCCAGACTGGCAAAAACACCGAAATGGCGTTCCTAATAAAACATTATTTTTAAAGAGTGTACACTACTTTTAACTTATACAAAGCAATATTTCTATAGTTTAGACATCATGGAACAAGATTATCACAATAAAAATTTCAGTTTTTGGGATTTTCAATGTTTTTTCAAACAATGAAATAGTCAATTTTTACCACTTTTCACCAAATGGCGTTCCACTTTTTTTCAATTTTTACACAGTAAAACTCATATTTTTTATTTAAAAAATATATTTACATACAAAACATTATAATATAATAATGTAGTAAGTAAAAATAAATATAAATAATTAATAAATAAAATTTAATAATTATTAATAATAACAAAAGTGGAACGCCATTTGTTAAAAAGTGTTAAAAATCGACTATTTCAACGTTCAAAGAAACATTGAAAATCTCAAAAACTGAAATTTTCATTGTGATAATCTTGTTCCCTGATGTCTAAACTATAGAAATATTGCTTTGTAGTAGTAAAAAGTAGTGTACACTCTTTAAAAATAAAGTTTTATTAGGAACGCCATTTCGGTGTTTTTGCCAGTCTGGGCCTCGGCGCGTGGAACGCCATTTGGAACGCCCCGCCAGTGAAGTGGTTAAGCTAATAAGTATTCCTTGATCTTGAATTTTATGATTTTTGACATATTTTAGAACATAACTAACAAAACAGACAATTTTTTCAACATTTTAAAGATTTTATTTTCTTTTAAAAAGTTAGGCACATATTGTCGATTTTTTGATTTTGACCCTTATATACAAAGTAAATAAAAATTGCTATAAAATGTTTTTTGTCCACAACTTTTTTAAAATGTTAGGACACCTATAAATATGTTTCTTTAATTTTAGAAATTTTTTACACTTTTTTGACATATTAACAAATATTTAGAGTTATGTTATCAAAAGAAATTAAACTTTTAAAAATAAAAAATAAAAAAGGTAAAATTTGAAATTTGTATTTAAAATCTTTGTGTGAAAATTCAAATAATCATTAACAATTTATTGAGTATTTAAAACACAATCAATTAACCTATTGAAGGAACTAATAATAAACTATTATTGCAAAGTCTTTGGAATTTAAAAAATGTAAAAAATATAACTTTCTAAATTTTGTATCTAAAGTTATATGTTCGATAACTATTAAAATTAGGTTGTAAAATAAGAACAATTACTTTAATTGGCCTAACTTTATGCATTTTTTATCTATTTACGAAAATTTATTAATTTATAAATAATTATTAAACAACGAAGAAAAGTTATAACTTTCTACACTGTAACTTGTTACATAATAATAAAAATGTAAGAAATACAATTCATTTATTATTATAGAATATATTTATCTGCCTAGTAAAAAAAGAATATGCTCTAAGCAAACAGAATTGGTGATGACTTAAATGGTGGTAATCGTAAAAATTCAAGAAATTATTAATTAATTGTTTTCTTACCTTCTGTCGATTTAATTTCCAAAGTTCTGTACGTCAAATTGCAATTTTCTCTCTGTATTCGTAAGTCAGCAAATAGCAAAGTTGGGACCTAAAAAATACAAACATTTTTAATGGAATTAAATTCATTTTTTTCAATAAAGTAGTTGAAAATTGCCAACGTTCACAACACACGTAGTCTTTTAAGGAGGAAGTTAAGTATTGACCACGATACAAACAGTGTTTTTCATTGTGAGCAAAATTTCAAAAAGGGGCTACGTAGTTTATGAACCAACCCTTTAATACTAAATTGTGTTCACGTGAATAAGCTACCGCATAATTTTAAAAGTTTCTACTTTCTATTGACGGTATATTTCAAAATTTTATTAAACTATTTTGACTAATAAATTTTCGGCTAACGTAGATAAGTCTGTCTTTAATCAAATTTATGAGCTTGAGAAGGAAGTCGAAAATCTTAAAACAAAAAAGCAAGCAAAAATGATAGACTTCTTTAAAATTAAATAAATAAAATCTTCCAGTTTAACTCATACATTTTAATAGTTATTCGTTGTATATTCATTAATTGAATTAATTTTAAAAAACAATATTAATTCATAAACCTTTATAAGCAAGAGAAATCGCTCTTGCACCTCTGTAAGTGAGAAACTGGATAAGTGAGAAACCTTTATATGCGAGATAAAATTGACGGTCCCTTAAACTCTCGCTTATCCAGGTTCGACTATATAACAATTTACACACAATATAACATCCCAGTAGAAAAAAAGTATTGGAACAGAGCGAAAAGTATTGGCTGTGAGTTTCTGCCAATACGTTTTCGCGTGAAAACCATATTTGGGGCATTCTGACAATCCTGCTTTTTCACCGTCAATACTGTCCTCTTGAATCTTTCGATTTCACGTTCATTGACTCGACTTGAGTGTGTACTGTTGATCTATTACCACATAATTTAGGGAGCTTTCGACGTTCGCGCTAGGGGCGCTGTGAGTATAAGTCACAGCGCTTATCTAGAAAATACCCTAAATCATATGGTAATAGACCAACAGTACACACTGTGTACTACACAGTCTGCTGTCAAATTTTATTTATTTGCATTTTAACAAAGTTTTATATTTCCTGTTCGTTATCAGCATTTTTACACATTAAATCAATCAGTCTTTTTGATTAAAATGTCAAATCGAGTCAATGAACGTGAAATCAAAAGATTCAAGAGGACAGCATTGACGGGAAAAAGCAGGATTGGCAGAATGCCCCCAATACGGTTTTCACGCGAAAACGTATTGGCAGAAACTCACCGTCAATACTATTCGCTCTCTTAAAATACTTTTTTACTTGGATCAATTAAACAATGAATAACTTTGAATTTTTGTACAGTGGAACATCGATCTTCCGTCAGGCACCGGGTCAACACCTTGACAGAAAACTAAAAAGACGGTTAGTCGAAGGTACAAGAATTTATTTATTTTGGACTACTACATACAAACCAACAATTTTACAAAAAATTACCTAATTAATTAAAAAAATTTATTTAAAAAACGTAATATCTTATATTTTCTTATTTAAAAATTAATTTTTTAATAAAAAATCTAATTTTTGCATCGTTTTGTTGCACATACCTATCAATAAATTTTTTAATGTTATTTTATAAAAATAAAAAAATTGAACTCAGACAGTGACGGATAACCGCGGTGACGATGCGATAGACCGAGAGATGGATATTCATAAATTGAAAGGAAAATTGTCCCGGAATATAAAAATTCTGATTTCAAAACGAAACAGTGAACAATTATTAAAAAGTAGTAACAGCAAAATTTGAAGTCGGCACAGTAGATTCCTCTTAATTTATTTAAACTTATCTTTTTCATTGATACATATGTTAAATGCAGTCGCGTCTGTCAAATTTTGCTTTTACCATTTTTTAATAATTTTTCACTGTTTTGTTTCGAAATCGGCAATTTTATATTCCAGGACCGTATTTGGTGGACGAAAAAATGATTGAGTCAAACGCCCCAATAGGGTTTTTGTACAAATCTGTATTGGCTTACCTGCAATAAAGAGATACGCGCCATTTACTTAATATATCATTTTATTATGCAGTGAGCCCTCATTTGATAAATATTAATTATTTATATAGTATCTTTGCTCTGTTTCGAAATTTTTTGACATTTTTTCTTTTACTGATTTAAGAAATGCGTTTAACCCATTAACGCCGAACTCGTGAAAATTCTATGATAATTTTTAAGCTACGTTATTATAAATAAAACGATTGACAATTTGTACCAGAGGTACATTTTCTAAAGGTTTTGGATGTGCTCTTTCCGATTCCGGTGTCAAAAATAAATTTCATCTAAACCAAAATTAAATATGGCGGTTTTAATGTCAAAAAAATTCATTTTTTCAAGTTTGACATTTTTTTCATCTCGAAAAAATGTAAGAATAAAATTCTCTTTTCAACCATTGGTGCATAAAAATTATACGCTTTCGAGAAAAGTAAAGTAGAATTAAAGATGTCAAGATGACGGACCAATATGGCGTCAAATCTAACGTAAAATTTGAAAATTTTGAGCAATATTATTTATATTGCCCAAAAGTCAATGGATTCGACTGAATTTTGTTACTCGGGGGTTTTCGGTGTCGCTGCCTACGAATATGAACTATATTTTCAAAAATTCAAAATGGCGGATCCAATAAGGCGGATGAGTTTTACAAAAATTTATCGAATTCACTTGAAACTTGTCACTCGAGGGTTTTTGGGGTCGCTGATTACGAATATGAACTTTATTTCCAAAAATTCAAAATGGCGGATATCTTCTAAATTACAATAATTCTAAAGATTGTTTAAATCCACGCGAAAATGCGGTTGTAAAATGTAAAATTGGAAAGTAATGTATAATGATAGACAGTATGAAGCGGTTTACTGCCCAGTAAAAAAAGCAGGATTGGAAGAGAGCGAATAGAATTGACGGTGAGTTTCTGCCAATACGTTTTCGAGTGAAAACCGTATTGAGGGCATTCTGCCAATCCTGCTTTCTCGCCGTTAATTCTGTCCACTTGTTTCTTTCAATTTCACGTTTATTAACTCGATTTGGCATTTCAATCAAAAAGACTGATTGATATAATGTGTAAAAATGCTGATAACAAACAGGAAATATAAAAAAAATAAAATAAAAATGTTAAAATGTAAGTAAATAAAATTTGACAGAAGGCTGTACTGTTGGTCTATTACCATATGATTTAGGTATTTTCTAGATAAGCGCTGTGACTTATACTCACAGCGCCCCTAGCGCGAACGTCGAAAGCTCCCTAAATCATGTGGTAATAGATCAACAGTACACACTCAAGTCGAGTCAATAAACGTGAAATCGAAAGATTCAAGAGGACAGAATTGACGGCGAGAAAGCAGGATTGGCAGAATGCCCCCAATATGGTTTTCACGCGAAAACGTATTGGCAGAAACTCACCGTCAATTCTATTCGCTCTCTTCCAATCCTGCTTTTTTTACTATAGGTGCCAGTCGCCAGAAGAAGGCAAAAGCATGCAGAGCGAGCACAATGGCCCAGCAAACATATTCTTAACATTAAATTACCTTCCAATTTTAGATTTTGCAACCACGTTCGTGCATGAATTTAAACAATGTTTTGGATTTTGTAAAAAGAGTTTGTGCTTAGAGAAAGAGTGGTTGAAAATTGTTTCTTTACCTATTTAACGTCATTTAAACCAGCCAGTGCCGTATTGTGTCGGTCGGTGAGCCGAAAAACAATCCGAAAATTGTCTGTAACAATCCGGATTTCATCCAATTAAAAGATTTAAGGACGGTTTCATCAACACTGATTATTAAAGGTTAATCAATGATTAAATCCTCAATTGATTAACTTTTAATTGGAGTTGGTAAAACACGAACCCCAGTCCAAAAATAAATCTGGTATAGTTTGGAATTTAAAAATTTAGTTTCGGACATTTACACAAAGTTTTTGAAGATAATCAAAAAGGTAAGTGTACAAGAATAATCAGGACTTCGATATACTGAATGCAATTTATGTTATGCAACAGCGTCAGTGGGGAGTTGTGCAACACATCAGTTTTAATAATTCTTTTTATTTCATTCGAATTCTAGGGCAGACCGAGGTGAGTTGTAACAAAGCCGATTTCTCAAAAGCTATGACTTTTTAAAAATTTTGGAAAGCGTGAATTTATTACATTTTTGATTCACTATTTGATGCAAATTTACTTGACCACCTGAGAAAAGTTTTTAAGATGTATTTAATATATATATATATATATATCTCGAAATTTAAGATAAAAAATAATTATAAGTTTATTGTGTATAAATAATGTTATAATTGTTTATTATTTATTATTGTTATTTTCTACACTGTAAAAACAGTGTCTCAAAGTAAGACATTTTTGTCCCCTCTTTTGAAACATATGAGGTGTTTTACCTCAATAATTTTGAGGTAAAACACCTCAAATGTTCCAAAAGTGGGAACAAAACGTCTTACATTGAGACACTTGTTTTTACAGTGTATTGGTGTTTATGTAAATTCATTTTCATGAAATATGTGTAGAGTGTAAATAAGGCATATTATATGCTTAAATATTGTAGATGCGTGTATAGTGTAGTGGATAGCGTTAGTGTTCAGTATGCGTTAGGTCTAGGGTTCGTATCCCCCCATCGGTTAATAATTTATTTCGTAAATATGCGGTTATTCAATAAGTGGTGTGTATTAATTAACAAAAATGTGAATAAAATATCTCAAGTGACGTGGAATTTAATTACTTGAGTGATTCAAATTTTTTTGTTTCCCATTTCCATTACTATGGATCACCCAACTATAGATCTTTTCTGCCCTACAACGGAAAAAGACACATAAGCGACAAATAGGTCCAACGGAGATATTTGAGAGAAACCGTTTGCGTTAAAACAGGGGTGTATCCAGGGGGGGGTTCAACCCCCCCTCCGAAATTTTGGAAAAACATATATGTTAAAGCTTAAATTTCTAATTTTATTCTGAGTGAAAGTATAGTTTATTTCCGAACGTTCCCGAAACACAGTTCCGAGTTAAACCGATGTCGCTTGCGTATAGTTTCCGCTGGACATCTTTGCTCTATTCACTGAGTTTACAAACTAAAAAAATACATTTATGCGCCCTTGCAGATGTGGTTTCGCAAACGAAGCCCTGCTTGGCAGTATTTACAATGGAAAAAGAACGCAAACGATTTTGTGACGTAGTTCATGCCTTTTGCAGATTCTGGACTACGCAAAGTACTTCATGTGTCTTTTTCCATTGCAATTTCTCATTTTTCGCGAATTCCAATATTTTCAATATTAATTTTTTACTATAAATAACTTAATATTTTTATTTTAATTACGATAGTTAGATGCAGTTTTTGATTACGAATCCATTGATACCAAAAACCTATTTTTCACCAAAATGTCGCTTATGTATAGTTCTCTAATTTTGACTTATTTGTAATTTTAAAGTGTCTAACTTCAAGTATTTGGAGGAAATTATTCTAAACAGACTTTTCTTTAACTTAAACTCATATTTGCAATAGTATAAACATTTAATTCACATCTTTACCTCCCAACACGTGTTCATCAACCGCCATAGATTTATATAGTTTACCGATAGACTAATTTTGCAGTAGTTTTTACTTCTTCTAGGAGTTAAATAATTTTCCATGTAATTTATGTTATAGGTTTTTATAGAAAATTATCAACTGTGAAAAGGTGTAAATGCAACTACTTTAAGTAGTAAAATTAACTACAGTTATCAGTTGAACTGTGTCAGGAATGCCTTTAAGTATTAAGCAAGTCATCGTAGCGGGCGAGCGTGGTTAGGTGGTTAGGTTATCAGTTTACGAATGTTAGGGTCGAGCGTTCAACTCCCGACGTTTAGAGATTTTTTCTCCGTTAGGTATATTTACATTAAATATATAAGGTACAGGTATAAAAGTGGGTACGGAAAAATATAAAAAATACAACTCGATAATATTTATAATAAATTATAAATAATTTTATTTTACCATTTTAAGTAGTTGTCTTTACTACTGAGTTATCTTAGTAACTTTAACTACAAATCAGCAGTTAATTTTACTGTAAAACTGTAATTGGTTCCTATTTAACTAAGAAAAGTAGTTAATGCAACTGTATTATCACTTCATTCAACTACATGTCTAATAATAAATGTAAGTTCAAAAATATCTTTGGGGACTTATTGAACTAAGAAAAGTAGTTAAAAAGTAGTCAAATTTACTAAGAATTTTTTTCAGTGTAAGAAAGTCATAGTTTTAATTTTTTTTCCCTCGTACGGTTTTTCTGTAGCTTCAAATTTTGCATTTTCGAGGTGCGACGCCACTTAAACTTACCTGTAGGAAAATTAGCTTGTCAAAATATAATAAATGAGGTATCATTGGAAAGGTTATTAAATTACCTTTCGATCCATAGGCCACAGAATAGAATTCAACAAAAATTGAGAGAGTTACAGTCGATTAAAGATGAAATTTCATGACAATTTTGATGATTTTTAGACATTTGAGTAACTTCTACTATTTTTTTCTACATCAAACAGGAAAGAATGTTTAGGTTTTAATTTTTTTAATGATAGACTACATCATTACACAAATTTTGAGCCCTTGTGGACCTCGATTGGATTAAAAATGACAATTCTACACTAAATTTAGTGAACGAAACTACATTCTTCATCTTTAGTATCCCTTAAACATTTGCAGCAAACATTGAAGTAATAACATTTTGTTAAGCTCTAAAGTTACTAAAATCACTAATAAAGGATTTCTGAAATCGTAGATTTCGAATCCAATGTTAGTTTTCTAAATTTCAAAATGGCGGATCCAATATGGCGGACAAATTTTTAAAAATCAATGAAATTCGTCTTAAATTCGTTACTCGGGGATTTTTGGGGTCGCTGATTACGAATCCGATGTCGGATTTCGAAAATTGAAAATGATGGATTCATAATAGTGAACGAGTTTTTTAAAATCCATCGAATTCGCACCTATTGGATCCGCCATTTTTAATTTTTGAAATCTGACATCAGATTCGTAATCAGCGACCCCGAAAACCTCCGAGTAACGAATTTAAGACGAATTTCATCGATTTTTAAAAACTTGTCCGCCATATTGGATCCGCCATTTTGAAATTTAGAAAACTAACATTGGATTCGAAATCTACAATTTCAGAAATCCTTGATTAGTGATTTTAGTAACTTTAGAGCTTAACAAAATGTTATTACTTCAATGTTTGCTGCAAATGTTTAAGGGATACTAAAAATGAAAAATGTAGTTTCGTTCAATAAATTTAGTGTAGAATTGTCATTTTTAATCCAATCGAGATCCACAAGGGCTCAAAATTTGTGCAATAATATAGTCTATTAATAAAAAAATTAAAACCTAAACATTCTTTCCTGTTTGATGTAGAAAAAAATAGTAGAAGTTACTCAAATGTCTAAAAAATCATCAAAATTGTCATGAAATTTCATCTTTAATCGACTGTAACTCTCTCAATTTTTGTTGAATTCTATTCTGTGGCCTATGGATCGAAAGGTAATTTAATAACCTTTCCAATGATACCTCATTTATTACATTTTGACAAGCTAATTTTCCTACAGGTAAGTTTAAGTGGCGTCGCACCTCGAAAATGCAAAATTTGAAGCTACAGAAAAACTGCACGAGGGAAAAAAATTAAAACTATGACTTTCATACTCAAAATACACCTACTATTCGAAAAAAAATTGTTTTGTTCGATTGACAATTTCACTGTAAACCAGTGAAGTAAAAAGAAACTTTAATATTTTGCAAGTCATTCGTATAATAAACTTATTGATAAATATTTTAATTGTTTTAAACCATTTTTGCTACCAAGTCACTTATCCCACTTTTTCTCCCAATGTTTTTTTAAACCATTTTTACTATCGCAGTCCCTCAAATAATCTTATATTACATATAATCAATAAAATTGATGTATTTATGAAAATTACTTTAATGATAACTTGTAGAAATTTTTAAAATTAAAGTATTTAATAATTTACAATTTAAAATTTAATATAAAATTTATATTTTATTAATTTATATAATTTGCATATGAGTCATTCATGCCGACTAACACCAAGCTGGATAAAGTAGACTCCGATATTAAAGATTTGAAATTCGCAACAGAAAATCTAAAAAAGGATGTGGATTTTAACAAAGCGAAAATGCATTTATTCGAAAAAAAACAATAAATTGTTAGAAGAAAGATTAGAAATGAGTGAAAGAAAAATTGACTACTTAATAAACAAGGAAAGAGGAAAGAATCTTGTAATGTACAATATCCCTGATACTCAAAATGAAAACAGAGACTTGACCAATACAGTGAAAGAGATATTTATCAAAGCTAAGGTTAATATTGATGACAATAGCATTGTCTCGATGAAAAGGATTGGAAAACAAGAAGGCTCGAGACCGATTTTAATTACATTTATCGATTACATCACAAAATATAAAATTTTTCAAAATGCGAAAAACTTTGGAAATTTAAAAATTGGATTCTCAAATGACTTAACAAAGGAGCAACGAGAAGAAAAACGTATGAATTATGATATGCTCTTAAAATACAAAAACATTTTACAAGAAGAAGGAAAAAAACCACTCATAAAAGGAAATAAGATTTTTGCAGAAAATATGATTATTGACTTAAATGAAATAAAAAAATTCTTTAAAAATAATCAAATCGAAGATGAAGAAGAAGACTCTAATTCCTCAGAAAGTGATGACTCCAATCAATCAAAGATGACAACAACCGGACAAAAAAGTGGAAGAAAGAAAGAATCAAAAAACAAAACGGAGAAAAAACAAAAAATTCTTAATAATACATCTATACAAACAGCAGATATGAGAACCTTTCTAATTACAAAACCTACTCTGGAAACAAAAGAAGATTCTCTGAATAATAAAAAATCATAACTATATGGAAAAACTAAAGAACCCCGCATAATTTTCTGGAATTCCAAAGGATGGAATAACTGGATAGACCTATTGGATAAAACAAGCAACGAGGATATCATTTGTATCTCGAAAACCTGGCTGCTCTCCCCCCCATCGTTTCAAATACCACCCAACAAAAGTATCATCTTTACTCCCGCCGTAAGAAGATCGAACTATGGAAGACCTAGCGGAGGAACAATAATACTCTTCGATGATTGTAAATATAAAACAGAAATAATTAATGTTAC